ACACTGCCTGCAAACCAAGCACTTCTCCTGGAGTCGTGGAATTCAAACCTGGAATGAAAGAAAAAACTTCCAATAATTATATTCATAGTCTCCATCTCCTCAAATGCTCTTAAAATAATACAGAATTGGAAATAATGGAAAATATTGGTAATATCACCCTTATTCTGCTAAATTCCAAGTATTTATATTTATAGTTATAGTTATATCTATATATACTTATATTTATATTGGAGATATGTTTCCATTACATGTAAATACACATATTTACATATATATCCAATATAAATTACAGGTAAATATATATTAGATATATATTTCTATTAGATGTAAACATACATCTAACATACATATTTAGAGATATATATATAAACATACTATAAATATGCTATAAATAGATATTTATATTTGTAGCTGCATTTATAATTCTACTCATATTCATATTCATATTCATGTATATTTTAAATATATTGATGTATTATATTTATATCTATATTTAGTATTATATTCCTCTCTGTTCCCTTCCCCAGGAGCCTTTTCCTGGCAGAATTCCTCTGGGGATGTTCCCACCTTTTTCCCTCTGTTGTTCCCATCTTTTCTCCTGGGTTTTTCCCATCTTTTCCCTGGGGATGATCCCAGCTTTTCCCTGAGGATGTTCCAATCTTCTCCCCTGGGATATTCCCATCTTTTCCCTGGGTTGTTCCCACCTCTTCTCCAGGGATATTCCCATCTTTTCACCTAGGGGTGCTTCCATCTTCTCCCCTGGGATGTTCCCACCTTTTCCCTGGGGATGTTCCCACCTTTTCTCCTGGGTTGCCCCCATCTTTTCCCTGAGGATATTCCCACCTTTTCTCCTGGAATGTTCCCATCTTCTCCCCTGGGATGTTCTCACCTTTTCCCTGGGGATGTTCCCACCTTTTCTTCTGGAATATTCCCACCTTTTCTCCTGAGATGTTCCCACCTTTTCCCTGGGGATGTTCCCACCTTTTCTCCTGGAATGTTCCCATCCTTTCCCCTGGGGCTCCTGGCTCCGAGTGTCCCCAGGCCAGCCCTGCCTGGGAGCTTTGTGTACTCCTGTCACCATGGCCACCCCTCNCGCGGCCGGGTGCCTCGGGTGTCTCCAGCCGCCCTCCATGGGATGTTCTCACCCGTTTTGGGGTGGAACTTGGGCGTTTGTTAAATTTCTGGCCGTTGTCCCTCATCCTGTCACACCGATCAGAGCCTATCCCCATCCTGTGACACCCTCTGGGGGTGTTTGTACCCTGGTGACATCCTCAGCCTCCTGTGAGCCAAACACACCCAGCGCGTTTTTGGATGAAGAGGAACAACCTCAGGCTCTCTGCAGCTTCCTGAGGAGGGGATGAGGAGAAGGAGGTGCTGAGCCCTTCTCCCAGCCTCAGGACACTTGGGGATGGCTCAAAGCTGTGTCAGGAGAGGTCCAGAATGGAGGTTATGGAGCATTTCTGTACCAAGAGAGTGCTCAAAGCTTCCCAGGGAGCTGCTCAGTGGCCCAAGCCTGGCAGTGTCCAAGGGGTGTTTGAATAAAGCCCTTAAATGACTTTTGTGATGCCCTGAGGTGGCCAGGCAGATGCACAGGGGGATTTTTGCAGGTCCTTTCTCAGGGAATTATTCTTCTGTTTTTATTTCCTGCACACTTGGAAAGGCAGATTCGGAAGCTCTGTTGGTCCCTTTGGCCTGAAATGGTCTGAGGACCATCAGAGCTGAGAATGTGTGAAGAAATTTTAGGCCCTTTCTGCTGGATTTGCTTTTCAGTGCTGGATTTGCTTTTCAGTGCTGAGTCCACTCATTCTGCTTTAGAATGTGAGTGTGCGTTTAAAGGATGCGCTTACTAAGTGTGCATTTAAAAGATGCACTTACATTTTCAAATTCCCCGTTTGCTTCAGCAATCTTTGCTCTCTGAGCTCACGCCTGTCCCTCCCTCTCCCCTGCTCCATCCCAGGCTGGAGGACTGGTGCTTTCCTGACATTTGGGAACCAGGAATCACCCCTGGAATCTTTCAGTTCCCCTGACTAAACCAGGCCAAAGCTGATGGCACAGCCCGTGCCCGTTGAATCAGCCACAGAGCTTTATGAACACCCAGAGTGGACACAAAAAAAAAAAAAAAAAAAAAAAAAAAAAAAAAAAAAAAAAAGAAGAAGAAAAAAGAGGAAAAGAGTGGAAGAATGCAAGGAACAAAGTTGTGTCATTCTTTCCCTTTTTAGGCAGGTTTTACACGTAAAGCTGCCTCATCCTCGTGAAAAGTTACTTTTGCTGAGTGTCAAGCAGCGATGACAGTTCTGCAGAGGGAATTGAAGGTCTCTGTGCAGAAATTAATGCTTGTCCTTCGCTGCTGATGAGATCCCTGCAAGGAGTGACATTTGGGGATGACGCTGCTGCCTCGGGCTGCCATGGAGAAGCCGGGAGCTGCTGCTGCTCCATTTATCCCCTGCACAAGTGCTGGCAGTGAGTAACTGATGGCTGGGGTTAGTCAGACATCCACCCTTTCAGTGATTGATGGCTACGTGAGAGAGCCTTCCAGAATCCTCTTTGAATAGCAAATGGTGTCATCCCCAACTGCCACTTGCCAAATTTCACTCCTCTTTCACCTTTTCTTCGCATCCAAACTCGGCGTGTCAAAAGTTGCTTTTTTCCCTACGGAATGTTACCTAATACTCCTCAGTCGCGTCACCCTAAATGAAGTTTTTTAGCCTGCAAACATTTATTTGCCTCCTGCCCGCTTTCAAGCCTCATCCTGGTGAGGGTGAATGATTGATGATTAAGCCAGATTTGAATGATTAAACCAGATTAATGAAAATGAACGACTGAGCCAGATTTTGGTGCTCGAAAGGGAAAACTTCTGCAGGAACCTCACCACAAAGCTGGAAAGTTCAGGGCTTAAAAACGCAAGGAGAGGAACTGCACCCATAAAAATCATCCTCCGCAGGGCAGATTTCAGCGGTCGCTGATGATTTTTGCTCTGCTCCAAGGAAAGGGATTCAAACCCCTCCCAAACGGGGCTGAGCGGATTTTCCAGGACATCAACGTGGAGCGCACATGCCCTCGTGTGGTCGCTGCTCCCGCGCATCCTCCCGCAGCTGGGATGCCCCAAAGGAGGGGTCAAACTTAGACAATTTATAAAAATTTATAAAATTTCCTCGCCTTGATAACGCCCAGCACGTTCAGATCACTGCCGAGCCCAACGGCAGGCTCAAGAGGTCGGATCCCACATTTGGCTTTGCACAGCTGAACTCCAGCATCTGACAAGTTCTTCCCCTCATTTTCCTCTTTTTCAGTGCCTAAAAGCTGGCAAAAAGAAAAAAAATAAGGAGGCCAGGAACACAGGATTAAAAGTGGACAGACTTCTTCTTGATTTGCATTAATTACTGCATTAGAAACTCCAATTACTGTGAGTGCCAGCCCTGACCACTCTCCTATATCAGGATTTTGCTTTTCAGGAGAAAAATGCTGTTTTCAAAGCAATGAGAAGATTATTTATTTTTTAAAGGGATTTCTCCTTTCAGGGCTTTCTTTGCCCCATGTCCTGGTGGAGGAACTGCTGTGACACTGCAGCACCTGGGGCATTTAGGAAGTGAGAAGCAGCTGTGACAACTGAAACATTTCAGTGTTTGCAGCAGTCGGCAGCAGCTCAGAGACCTGAAAACTTCTTCCTGCCTATTTTGGCAGAAGAGATTCATGGCTATGCCTGCACTCGGTTCTGTTGTTGTTTCAGCCACATTTCAAACAACTTTTTGCCAAACCTTTGTTTCCTACCAGCTTATGATTTTTTTTTTTTTCATTTTCCTATTTATTTATGTGCAATGGAGAACAGCAAACTTTTAGGCAACCAAAACACATTTTAGGTGCTTCATAGTTTTGTTCTGAAGCAGTGTTGCTCTCCTAGAGCCAGAAAATCACCTGCAGAACAAAAGGTGTGAAATATTTGTGTTCCTGCCTGGCACTCTTTGGTTGCTCACTCATTCCCCTTTCATTTCTTGGTCTCTGTCCCTTCCAGCAGAACGAGGGAGGGAATTGGAGGAGTAAAAATGAGCAAACTCATGGGTTGAGATAAAGAAATTTAATAGGCACAGTGAAAGTCACACACACAAGCAAAGCAAACCAAGGGGTTCCTTCCCCACCGGCCGTGTTCAGCATCTCCAGGAAAGCTCCATCACACACCACAGGGAACTTTTAGCACCTTTGAGGAGGAGGAGGTCTGTAAATAAATAAGGATTTTGGATTGTCCTTCAGTTTCAAGGCCTATCTTTGGTACAAAAAGGAATGGGAGGGTATTAACGTGTCATTCCTTGGTGCAAAGCAAAATCTGTACATTCCTTTCAGTCCGGATCTTTAAAAACCCCTGTTCTTGCAGAAAATAGAAGAATAAGGGCACAATGCAAAACCAGGACAAACACCACACACAGCATTGTCACCCTGATTTTTTCAGTTTTTCTGAGCCTTCTGATGTTTACATTCTTGTAGCAAACTTTCTCACACACTTTCTTTAAATAACTCATTGTTTGCATTCTTTTATGGAGCAGGAGGAATTAGATGGGCTCTTGGTTTGTCCAGTGTCACTGGAGAGGTGGCACTGTCACACTCCAATATCCACTGTCACTTTTGGAAATCTATAAATGTTGGGAGTCAGAAATTAAACTTCTTTTTTACCTTGGAGAGTTGCATGTCCACTTTGTTGTCACAGACATATTTTATGAAAAATCCTTTTGCTGGGATCTTTTCTCCTGAGAGGCCTCAGAAACGAAATGTAAACAGTGATTATCTGCTGCTGTGGAATGCAACAGGTGAATCTGTGATTGGTCTCATGTGGTTGTTTCTAATTAATGACCAATCACAGTCTGGCTGTCTCGGACTCTCTGATCAGTCACAAGATTTTATTATTATTATTTTCTATTTCTTTTGAGCCTTCCGATGAAATCCTTTCTTCTATTCTTTTAGTATAGTTTTAGTATATAATTTTCTTTTAATATAATATATATCATAAAATAATAAATCAGCCTTCTGAGACGTGGAGTCAAGATTCTCATCTCTTCCCTCGTCCTGGGGACCCTCACAACACCACACATCCTGTTATTGAACAAGTGCATAGAGAGGGCAAGAAAAGTCACGTTGACACCCAAAATCCAAATTCCAGTGGGTTTTTTAGGTCCATTTCCTCAATATCCATAAATCTCATTGTCCACCCAGGTGGACTCCTTGCTCCTGCCCACGCGCTCCCCGCAGAGCTCGTAGATGTCGTTGGTGACAAAGCCACTCTCCGTGCTGGCCAGTGTCACCCAGCCCCTGCTGGAGGGCTCCTGGGGGTCCCTGCAGGGGCTCTGCAGCCCCTCGTGGGCACGGAAGGAGGAATTCTTTGTGCCAGGCCTGGCCCCGGCCAGGTCAGCTTCGCTTTGCTTGTGGAGCACCCTGGAGATGTCCAGCCTGGGGCTGTCCCTGCCGGGCTGGGGCAGCCAGGCCCGGTCACCCTTGGGGGACACATCCAGCAGCTCCTGTCTCCTGCGGAGGGAAAAACATAAAATAGCACAGAGGAAAACACAAACTAACAGCAGAACTGTGACAGTGCTATGGGGATGGGCTTTGAGCAAAGATGGGCTCAGGACATTCCTTATTTCCAGGCTGCTCTCCTGAGAAATCCCAGGACCTGCTGAGGGCCACATCCAGCAGCTCCTGTCTCCTGCGGAGGGAAAAACATAAAATAGCACAGAGGAAAACACAAAGAAGAGCTCTGACTGTGATTTGGTGATGGGTTTTGAGCCAAGCTGGGCTCAGGACATTCCTTATTCCAGCCTGCTCTCCTGGAAAATCCCAGGGCCTGCTGAGGGACACATCCAGCAGCTCCTGTCTCCTGAGGAGGGAAAAAGGGAAAAACCATGAAATAGCACAGAGGAAAACACAAAGCAGAGCTCTGACAGTGCTATGGGGATGGGCTTTGAGCAAAGATGGGCTCAGGATATTCTTGATTCTATACCAGGCTCCTCTCCTGAGAAATCCCAGGACCTGCTGAGGGCCACATCCAGCAGCTCCTGTCTCCTGAGGAGGGCAAAAGGGAAAAACCATGAAATAGCACAGAGGAAAGCACAAAGCACAGCCCTAACAGTGATTTGGCGATGGGTCTTGAGCAAAGCTGGGCCCAGGATGTTCCTTATTTCCAGGCTGCTCTCCTGGAAAATCCCAGGACCTACTGAGGGCCACATCCAGCAGCTCCTGTCTCCTGAGGAGGGCAAAAGGGAAAAATATAAAAATAGCACAGAGGAAAGCACGAACTAACAGCAGAACTGTGACAGTGCTTTTGAGCAAAGCTGGGCTCAGGACATTCCTTATTTCCAGGCTGCTCTCCTGGAAAATCTCAGAGCAGGATCTGCTGAGGGCCACATCCAGCAGCTCCTGTCTCCTGAGGAGGGCAGGGCAAGAAGGAAAACACATAAAATAGAGAGGAAAACACAAACCAACAGCAGAACCCTGACAGTGATTTGGTGATGGGCTTTGAGCAAAGCTGGGCCCAGGATGTTCCTTATTCCAGGCTGCATTCCTGGAAAACGTTTCTTGCTAAACATTCTCGGGTCCAAGTTGTTATCCTTTTGTTTCCATTGCTGCATTTTTTTTTGCTGTTCAAGGGGAACTTCTGAAATTCAAATCTTTAATAAGAAAAGTAGAAGGGTTAACACATCAAAATCATAATCTGGTTTTTTTTTTTTTTTCCTGCCTGCTATATCTGTGAATGCAAGAAAAGAATATAATGTGATTTACTTAGAATTTTACTTCCAGTTAACTCAGCCTGGAGCATCAACGCCACTTTTTCAGCATTTCTTTGGCTGCAAACGCTCCTGTGCAGAGCTGTTTCCAGGATGGTGAAATTAGCTGTGAACAGGACAAGGTGTCACTGCTAATTCAGAACAAACACAAAAATTCCCCTCACCTCTTCATGAAGAGCCAAAAGCAGGAGATGCCTGTGATGGCCAGCAGGAGAAGCAGCACAGGAACGCTGGAAATCAGGATGAAGGCAAGGCCCTGAATGGGTTCTGGGGGCAAAAATGAAGCAGGGTCATGAGAAGAAATTGCAAGTTTTTCATGGTTAATCACAGGTGTGCAAACAAAACATTCACAAGAAATATAATAATAAAATTCACAATAATAACATCATATTCATTATGTAACATTCACAATAAATATAATAATTAATTCACAATGACTAAATAATAACAGTGGCTTTTTCACACCAAAAATACTTAGCACAGCTTTGGATTTTGAACATTTTTACCCTCAGAGCAACCTCCTTATTCTGTCCTGGAAAATATTAAGGGAAGTTTTTTTTTCCAGAGATTATTTTCTATATTCAGTCTTCCACATTTTGAGCCAAACACTCGAAATGAGGTTTTGAGAGCAGAATTTACCTTTGGCTCTCCCAGCTGTTCCATTGGCACCTTTCCTCCAGCGTTCCTCTGGGAATTTTGGCTTCCAGGGCTCTGTTGCCACAGCTGGAAAGAAGCAGCTTCATTAATCCTGCAGAATTATTTTTTTTAATAATAAAAAAGGCTGGCTGAGAGGAGACTGAAGAGGCTGGGAGCTGCAAAGATGTGTGAGGTGCGCTGGGATTCTTGTGCTTCAATCCCTGCAGCATCACCAGCAATGGGATTTTCCCTGCAGGATGAGGCATGGAACAGCAAGCCAGCAGTGGAAATAATTTTTAAAAATAATAAAATAATAATTAATTAAAAGAATTATTTTAATTATTAAAATATTTTAATAATTTTAGAAAAATTCCCAAACAAATCTGTCCAACTCACCTCTTCGGGAATTGTCTATTGGAGCTCTTGTTGGCTTCTCTGGAGGAAAAGAGAAATGCAGAATTTCTCCATGAGTGAAATGCACAATTTCCAACCTGAGCACAGTTCTTCTGTGTTCTCCCCCTCTCTGAGACCTCAAACCCCTCATGGAAACCCCCAGGGAATTTATGCAAACCACAGGCAGCCACAGACACTGGGATGTTTTCCTCATTTGTTGCATAAATTAAAAACTGAGGGAGGATTTCCTGTCCCTGTTAGGTTGGCCCTGATATGCACACACACACGCTCAGTATCTAAGAAGNGCGCTGGCCAGTTCGGATCGTTCATTTATTTATTTATTTATTTATTTAGTCATTTATTTATTTATTTATTTTTGGAAAGGTTTTTCCTTCGCTTTCCCAGCCGTGTGTTTGCTGCGGGGAAGCGGGATGAGCTTTAGGGTTTCCTGTCGCTCCAGCCAACCACTGACCTATTTTATCCATCCCTGATTTTTTTTTTTTTTTAATTTAGAAAAATTTTCTAAATCTAACTATTTGGATTTTTTCTGTTCGGATCGTTCATTTATTTATTTATTTATTTATTTAGTCATTTATTTATTTATTTATTTTTGGAAAGGTTTTTCCTTCGCTTTCCCAGCCGTGCGTTTGCTGCTGGGAAGCGGGATGAGCTTTAGGGTTTCCTGTCAATCCAGCCAGCCACTGACCTATTTTATCCATCCCTGATTTTTTTTTTTTTTTAATTTAGAAAAATTTTCTAAATCTAACTATTTGGATTTTTTCTGTTTGGTTGGTTGGTTTTTTTGGAAAGGTTTTTCCTTCGCTTTCCCAGCCGTGCGTTTGCTGTGGGGAAGCAGGATGAGCTTTAGGGTTTCCTGCTGCTCCAGCCAACCACTGACCTATTTTACCCATCCCTGATTTTTTTTTTTTTTTTTTAGATTTAGAAAAATTTTCTAAATCTAACTATTTGGATTTTTTTTTGTTTGTTTGTTTGGCTTTTTTGGAAAGGGTTTTCCTTCGCTTTCCCAGCTGTGGATTGATTTGCTGTGGGGAAGCAGGATGAGCTTTATGGTTTCCTGTCAATCCAGCCAAACACGGACCTATTGTATCCATCCCAATCCCAGTTTTGTAAATCTAACTATCGGGAGATTTTTTTTGTTTGTTTGTTTGTTTTGGAAAGGTTTTTCCTTCTCTTTCCCAGATGTGCATTTGCTGTGGGATGAGCTTTATGGTTTCCTGTTGCTCCAGACAAACACTGATTTCTTTAACCCATCCAAATCCCAGTTTTCTTAATCTAACTATTTTCTAAAGCTAACTATTCTAAATCTAACAACAGAATCATTGTATATTCTATATTCCATTCTATATTCTGTATTCTTGAATCTAACTATTCTAAATATTCTGAGTAGGAAGGGATCACCACAAGGATCACTTCAAGCAAAAATCCTGGGATTGGCTCCAAAATTTCAGCGTTTTTAGCCCATCAATCTGATCAGTTTATAAAACCAGAAATTGCCATTAATCTCTGAACACATGTAAAGGGAAGTTTGCTTTTCCAGACATGGTTTGCTCACCACTTTACTTCATCTGTCATGTCCACCAAAATGCCCAAAATACCAAAATAAAATAGGAAAAGCTCTGGAATGCACAAACCAATGATAAATATGAAATGATAAAAATGATAAAAATGCAAGAGACGCTGACGTTTCCCCAGGTGGTGGAAAAGCAGCACAGTGAATCTGTTCAGGCAGAGAAAAACCAGCATTGATGCTTTAAAATAGGAGATTGATGGTTTTGTAGAAGATTTAAAACTTTGAGCTGCTCTTGGGAGGTCAGGGGGAGAAGCTGATTCTGAATTTGGAATTTTAAGGAGAAGAAAACCCTTAAAATGCCATGAAAACAGCTCATTCCAGGCTGGAAATCCCTCAGGAATTCCAGAGGGAAGTGTTGGAAAGCTGCTGGTTTTGAGGGTGTGTCACCCTGGGAAACAGGAGCAGGCTCTGGTGTTTCCTGGCTTTTCCAGAAAAATAAAAATATTTCCACAACCACTCTGTTCCCTGCCTTTCTGAACCCCAGCCAGAATTAAAGCAAAATTAAAAAATGGCAAAGCTTCCTTGTGAAAAATGGTGGAGCTCCCATTTTCTTCTCTTGGCCTCTATTGAGAAATAAATGGGAAATACATAGAAAATAAAGGAGAAAAATATAGGAAAAGCAGTCTTTTAAAATATACAGCAGCAGGCTTTTAATTTCTAAATCTTGTAAAAATATGTATTAGTACAGGATAAAACAGAGTAGTTATTGTAGTAGTAGTAGTAGTACTAGTAAAAATAAAGGTAATGATGATGATAATAAAAATAATGATAGTAATAATAATAATGATAATAATAATAATAATAGTACAGGACATCTTTTTCCCCTAAATAGAATCTGAGTATTCAGACCAAGGGAAATAAAAACCAGAATTTGGGCCGAGCAGACAGACTTAGTTCAGCATTTTAATAAACTTTGAGAAGAGGAAATGCTTAATAGGAACCAACTGAAAAGCTTAAATAAGGAGGAAGGAAAAAAAGAGGCTTTTATGTCCAAAATGAAGACGTCAGTCCTGAAAGTACCTTTTGAAATCTTGTTTTCCAGCTTATTTCTCCAATCTCTGCGCTTATCAGCTTTAATATCTCAGTGCTGCTCTGTACAACTGAGGAATTAAATTGTGTTAATTCAGATATTTGGTTCTTAACCCTCAGCTCATTTGTCTCTGCTTTGTATCCTGGGAATTACAGCAGGAGGAAGGAAAAGCCTTAATAGAATCCAGACCTCTTACTTCTGGATTTTATTCTCCTGATAAACATCCGGCCAGGCCAGGCCAAACCATTATAAATCAGTGAATCTATATTTCACTGCTGATAATAATAAAAATCCCCAAATGGAATTCTGGCTTTATTGCTCAAATCCGGTTTCTGAGAGCTTTTTAGGGAGCGGAGCAGCCAGTTTGGTAATTTGGTTATAAACTGAGTGTTTGTGTTTCAGTGAGGAAAAGCTTGGAGACAGCAATGGAAAAAATAAAAAATAAAAAAATAGAAAAAATAACAATGGCCAGGCTGTCAAGCTTCCTTTCACATTAAACTGAGGAATTTGGACTCACTGCCTAATTTCTTGTGGTTTTGATATAGAAAATTTTCCTTAAAATTTTTTTTATCTCACTTAAACTTCATTTACCTCCTGTGCCTGGCCTGGAATTTCAGAGTTCCCCTCTGAAATCCTCTTTGCTTAAGGAAGTTTTTGATGAATCCACATTCTCTTCCCAGATTTATACAATTTCAGGGTTTGCTCCTTTGGATTTGTTCACATCTGAATCAAATCTGAAATCTGGACTTGAACACTAAGCAATATCCTGAAAAAACCTAAGAATAACCTGAACATTATTCTTATTATATCCGCTGCATTAATTTGACTTTTCTTAGACTTATGGGCTGCTTTTAGGGTGTCCTATATTTGTGTAAAACCATTTACTGCTTTAAATGAATCTTTATGGCTGCCCAAAGCTGCAAATCCTGGCTTTCATCCCTGCTTGGAAAACCCCTCCAAACCCATCAAGTGCAACCTTCCAAGGAATTAAGAAAAAAAAAATAAAAAATAAAAAGAAAGGGAAACCTCAGTGAACTGTTGCTGGCTGCAGGCAGAATTCAGAGCAGCCTAATGGCTGGTGATGGATGAGATTCCTTTTGGGATTATTGGTGGGGAAAGGGGGATTGCTGACTCTCGGGAAAGGTTTGCAGAGCTCAGCACCTCCTGCAGATTGCTCGGCCTGGCCTGGCTCCCAAACCCAGCTCTGCACTGAAAATGGGCAGTGCTGAGCTAAAATTAGGGATAAAAGAAATCATAATTGCAGAGTCAGGCTGAAAATGCAATTTCTGTACTTAATGGTTTGCCTGAGATTGCTTTATTTGTGTTCTCTTGATGGTGAGACACATTAATTAACCAGGTCAGTAATTGGGGCTCCAGCAGAAGTTTCCACCTTTTTTCAGGCCATTTCTACTCCAGTCAACTTCCAGTTCCCAAACCCAGCTTTTCACTAAAAATGGGGAGTGCTTTATTAAAATTAGGAATAAAAAAAAGGAGAACTGCAGAGGCAGGCTGAAAATCTGAGTTTGCTTTATTTATATGGTGAGACACACTAATTAACCAGGTCAGTAATTGGGGCTCCAGCAGAAGTTTCCATCTTCTTTCAGGCCATTTCCACTCCAGCCCAGTTTCTCCAAGGATAGGGAAGAGCTGCCACCACAGGCTTTAATTTCCTTTATTCCACCAGAATAAGTGGAGGGAGATGTGAGAACAGAGGCCTTGCTGAGCCCAGTCAGA